CAGTCAAAACAAAATGATGGATGTAATACATGACTTAAAACCAAAATACAAGGTGATCAACAATGGTTACCATAATGTCTCTTGTTGTCTTCAATAGAATTGCCCATATCATCAGGCAGAATAAAATTGAACATAGCAGTATAGAACAATATCAATAAAAACCAGACATTGGAGACATTATAGGATTTTAAAAGAAGGTAATAGTCAAGCCAGAATGGGTATCATAGTTAATCTTACTGTCTTCAAAGTAGTTGCCTATATCCTCACACTTGATACTATCAAACAAAACAGATTCAAATAAAATCAGCCAAAACAAGACAGTGAAAGCAATACAGGGCTTCAAATTAAGTTAATCGGACATCAAAAATGGTTACCATAGTATATCCTGCTATCTTCGGAATAGCTGTCCATGCCATCAAATCTAGTATAAACAGACAAACTGGAACAGAATATAAGCTAAACAGAGCAATGAAAACAATATGGGTTTCAAAACATGATACAAGATTAACAATGTCCACTACCTTCCCTTTTTAGACATTTTCCTCCCCTTTCACTTTCATAGGGTGCACTGTACATTTTGGATCCCACTAACTCCTTTAGTTTTTAGATCAGGGAGACAGCCTGCTATTTACCTGAGCATGAACCTTTTTACCCCTAGCATGATCTGAAGTTGTAGCCATTTACCTACAGAACTTCAAGGTTTTCCTTCCTTATAGCTGAGTAGTTCTCCATTGTATAAAAGTGTTATGTCTTTCCAGCCAATCTGCAGCTGATGGGTGAGTTACCCACACTTTTTCTGGTTCTCTGTCACATAGAGCATTATTTTCTCATCTTTGACTTTCAGTCCATAAACCCTCTTTCAGGTTAATTATATTTGTTAAATAGAGCATTTTGATGGGCCCTATCTCCTAATCCACTCTGCCTGTATTTCTTTTTATTAGTGTGCTGAGGCCATCCATGTTAGTGACTATGACCAACCTTCCCTGCCTCATCTCTGCCATATTATTTGTCTGCTGTTGGTTGTCTACCTTTCCCCTTCATTCAAATCTCTGCCCCATTCAGTGAGCTCCCTCTGTCACTGTTCCTGAAACCATTGTCTTTTTTCTCTCTCTCTAGAATGCCCTTCAGTCCTTTTTGTAGGATTGGATTGGTAGTCATGAACTCCCCCAGTTCCTCTTTGTCATGGAAGCATCTTGGTTTTCCATTAATTTTGAGAGATGGGTTTGCAGGGTACATCAATCTGGGTTGGAGATTATTTTCTTTCAGGACTTAGAATACCTCACTCCAAGGTCCTCTTGATTTGATGGTTTGTGTTGAGAAGTCTATCATGATTCTGGTGGTTTTTCCTTTATAGGTGATCTGTTTATTTTCTCTGATAGCTTTTAATATTCTGTTCTTGTGTTGAAGTTCTGGGATCTTGATTATTATATGTCTGGGTGTAGATCTATTTTGGCTATAGCTGGCTGGAGTTTTGTATGCCTCATATATCATTTTCTTTTCCTATGCTTGGGAAACTTTATTTAGTTATTTCTGTAAATAGCCTTTGTATTTCATTTGTGTTTACCCCTGCTTCTTCACTCACATTTTTTATTCTTTTTTTTTCTTTTGTACCGGGGATCAAAATCACAACTGCATGCTTGCAAGGCAGGTGCTTATGCTGCTGAGCTAAATTCCCAGCTCCACAGTTTTTATTCTTAAATTATAGATCCTCTTGTCGTCTTCTAGCCTTTGTATTGTTACTTCTGGGTTCTTTGTTATTTTTAAGAGATCTTTCTTTTCATGATCACAAGTTTCAAATTTGTCTTCAAGGTTCAATAGTCTATGTTTAGTTTCTTTCAAGCAGTTTTGCCAGCTTTCAATAGAGTTTTTAATTTCCTGGTAATCTCTTTTAATCTATTTCATGTATTCTAAATGTTTTTATATTCTTCATCAAAGATTTCCCTCCTTTTTCTATGCTCCTCTATTTTTCCATCTGTGTCTCCTTGAGAGATGCTTAACATTTCTTTTATTATTTTTCCTATATCTTCCTTTACTTGTATTAATATTTCTTTTCTGAGTTCTTTTATAATTTCATGAAGTTGTTTCTTCATGTCAGGTGCTGTTGCTTTAGAAACTGCCGGTATGCAACTCTTGTTCTCTTCTGTGTTTACCTCTCCTGGACCAGTACTGCTTGGGTTGCAGGCTGGAGACTGCCTTTTGTTTCTTCCTCTTGCCAATGTTCCTGGTTTCTTCCAGACAAGTGGGTAGTGGAGTCCTCAGCACTTCCTGTATTGATTATAATTACTCTGAAGCATGCTGGCTAGGGATTGCTGCTTTCCCCAATCTGCTGGTGACTACTGGAGTATAAGCAAGGGCAGCACAGACTGGCCCCTCCCTTTTGAGCTGGTTAGCCCCTGGAAGTCTTTACTACATTAGTGGGTGCAACACAGTTGGGGCTGGTTGGGGATAGCTCTAGGGAAACCTGGGCCTTGGCTATTGGATCACACACAGGAGTATGACTCAGTCTAAGCAATTCTCACCAATCTGCTCTGCACTAGGAGTGGCTGGATGAAGCCAGCTGCAGTTCTGGCTCCAGGTTTATCCTGCCAGACTCCAAAATGGCACCCAGCCAATTGCCCACTCCCACAGTAGGACTGAGTCACCCACACTCACTGTGAGGCTGTGTAGTTCTCCAGTCTGCTGCTCCCCTCTGTGACTGTGTCCTCCCACCAAGGCCATTGGGCTTGCCCACTCCAAACTTCACCATGACCATGCGTCTCTGGGTTCCAGGCACTTCACACACAGTGGGACTGGCTCTAGTGAGAGCACTTCTGGATATTGCCTTCTGTCCAAGTTTTTCTCTTTCTTTCTTTCTTTTTTTTTTTCTCACTTTAGTTTCTTCCTGAATTGAGAGGATCCATCTCTTTCCTTCTGGTCTTCTCCAGAATGCTATAATCAAGCCTCTGGGCTGTTTCAGAGAGGCTTTCTGCTTTGCAGCTTATTGTTCTACCATCTTCTGTTCTCATTTCAGCAATATTCTTAAAACAGAACAGCTGAGCTGTTTTCTAGTCATCATGCATTTGCCAAATAATGTCCTGTTGAATTATTCCTTGAAGTCTCTCTGGTCGCAGTATTAGCAATGAATTAGTCCTCTATCTGCATAGGAAACAGTAATATAGTCACATGAGGTTACAGAGAAACATGTCATGCAGATGTTGACTTGTAAACAATGCCAAGTGTTAGGGTCTGCTGCTGCCAGATACAAGAAATATACAAAAATGTCTTCAAAAATTTGCAATAAATACCCTGTTGTTACAGAACCTTAAGAAATTTTCTGATCATCTCTTCATTGATAGTTTGAGGTTTTCATTAAGTACTACCAGAACCGTGACTCTGTTTCTGAGAAAAAGGTGGTTATTTCTATAGATGAAACCAGTAGCTGCCAGCACCATTACAATGGTATGCTGGAACCACAGGGCGAAACCTCTGATCTGCTGATAGTATGCAGTTCACATCCTCTCTGAACCGCTTCTCATCTGTGAAATGGAGATAAATGAATTTACACCAGAAGGTGGAGTACATGACCAGCAAAGATTAACACATACCACAGGACTCTGGGCTCACTAGGTGGAACCTTGAGAAAGAGATTGCAAATATGTGTGCTTTTTCTGGTGCTCCCAGAAGGTGAGCTGGAATATTGGAATTAGTTTCATGAAAGAATTAAGGTGGGGTCATAAATTTTAGGAGAAAATAACAGAATTAAGTAGATCCTGAATTCATGGTACCCAGTCAACACAATTTCAGCTAAAGCACTCTCTTATTCTGGTCTCTTATTCATGTTTTATATGTGTCTTTTTTATCTCTGGGCTCCTATTTGTCAGTTCTAGTATCCTGGTACTAATATGCCCTTGGGTATGTGTATATAGTAATACATTTGAACTTTTATGATATTGTGTTGTTTCTGTGAACATTAAACATTCACATTAAACTATGGGATTCATTCTGTTTTATTGTAGAAAATAGAAAGCAGCTTAATACCATGTAAGACAACAGAGTTCAAGACATATGTATATCTAAAGAATTAAATTTTCTTTTTTTGAAACTTACTATGTTATGCATATTCTTCTCTTGCTTTTCTTCTCATTCAGCACTATGCTTTTATGATTGTCTATGTGCTTGTTGCACATTATTTCAGGGAACTTACAGGGAGACCATAAACCATGACAGATGAGAGTGCACCTTTGGGCGCCAGACTACCTGGCATCATAACCTATTTAGCATCTGTATTAAAATTAACTCACGTATTCAGTCAGCTCTCCAAGCACTAGTTGTCTCATTTCTAAAGTGGAGATAGTAAAAAGATCTATTTCATGGAGTAGTGAGAACATGTATTTTGTATCATAAAGTTCTAGCAAGAGAAACCATCAGTGTTATCATCATCACAGCTATCATTCCCATACCTGGCACCACAGTGAACATCCTCACACACAGCCCTTTATGGTTGGGGCTTGAGTTTCTCTAGAGTGTAGAGTCCAGGGAGGACTGGCTAGGTCATAGGGTGTAGACACACCCGATTTCATCATGTACTGCCAAATTCCATAACAACTGCTCTAGTCTACAGTCCCACCATCAGTTCCTGAGAATTCGGGGAAAGATTCTCACCCAGTTAGAGCCATATTTTAACAAGTCTTTCCTCCAGTGCAACTGACAGAATCTAACTTGGATACTTTTTTCTAAGTTGAGTGGAGAAATAGTGCTACCAGATGTGGGCATCTAGGCAGTCTGTGCTAACCTGCATCCTAGAGCCCCTAAGCCCTGCTTATGAAATAAGAAGATCATCATCACCGCAGGATCAGGAGTAGGGTCTGAAGTGCTTCTTTCAAGGTTTCTAGTTCACACAATCTAGGAGATCATAGACCTCCTCTCTTGCCTGGGTAGCAACTTCCTTTCCTGCTGCTGATGTTGTCAGCCAAACACAAAACACAGAGAACTACTGAGAAAAGGTCAAGGCCATAAAGGACTTAGAGGCTGCTAAGGTGATATGGTGAGGCAGAAGACACTGAAAATACCCTCTTGCAGAAGAGTTCCCTATTGTCAAACATCTTTCCATGGCCTGGAGAACACCAGAATTGCACTTATTTAACTCAGTCTTTTGAATTAGACTTGCATTTTCTCTGGAAGCCTGTACACTGTTGACTCTTCACCTGAGAAAACTCTAGGCTCAACAACTGTTACTTCCAGAGGATTTCAGCATCTCAGAAGTACTCCCTGGAGAAGTAGGACTTCTGATAAATGCTTGGTAGGTAAAGTATGGTAAACGCTTAACAGGACTGGGAGTTGTGTTTCTTGTTCTCTCCAGCAATGGTTAAGTATAGTTCCTGGGGAGATTCTGGGCCCCCTAAAAGCTGCCACTTGTATTCAGCCTGACACCTGTCTCTTCACAAATTTCCTAAATCTAATGGTTGCCAGTAATCCCAGACCTAGCTCTTAAATTCAATAAGCTCCAAAGTACTTTTTTTTTTTTTTTAATGAGAGGTGAGTTCTGTTCCTTTGTTTCCCTTACAAGAGTCCTTTAAGATTCAAAAGCAGAAACTAAGTGATTCATCCATTGCCTCACCCACTGGCAAGCTGTTTCTTATACAGCATTTGTTTCTCTTTCCAAACTGCAGGCTGCCAAATGGGCTGAAGCTATGAGAAAGTGAAATCAACCCTTGGATATATGAAGGTATGTAGTCCTTGGGGACGAGAGTAGAGAGAAAGCTGCTCTGAATCAGGTAATAGGCAAGCAGTCTTCTGCCCAGTGAAGTAACAATCATGTGGTGAAATTTGGCTTAAGGCTGCCACACTCTGGCCTGAGCAGTATTTATAGGCATTTAAATTTTTGGACAAGACTGAAGACACTGGAAAAAAATTAAATTGGCATGATAATGGGCCACTAATTTTTAAATATAGTTATGTCTCCTTTAGTATTTTTATTGTAAGTAATTTTTGTGGATTTTCAGCAAATCTTTGCTGATGAGTGAGTGATGAAGGATGATACTTACTCCCTTCTCAGATTTCTCCAAGGCAAAGATCACCTTCACCTTCCCACATACTCACTTGATGTATTAAGGCATGTGTTAGTTAAAATTCAACATGCAGTGTTGAAATCTGATATGAAAAATCTCAGTTGGAAGTTGGTAAAGCCTCAGCTGAAGAATTAGTCTGAGGTGGGACAGAAGGCCAGGCAACAGCTGGCTCAAGAGAAAGGTCAAGGCCCCGGGGACCAGTGTTTGGCAGTAAGTGAGGCTGAAAAGCAGTGGTGATTATGATGAACCCTGGCCACAGGAACAGATGCTGCAAAGACAAGGCTGAAACAAGCAAAGAGCATCTGACAGAAGAGCCAAATAAAAATTCCATAATGAGATTAGGACTTGGGAACAAGGATCAGGTGTACAAGGGCCAAAAGGTAGGGATAAATACCCTAGCAGAAATCAAAAAAGCTGAGGCTTGTGACCCAGATCTAGAAGTCAGAGAGGGAGGTTTTGCTAGAGTTCTCCCTTCACAACATATTTAATTCCATTTCAGCTACACTACCACATAGGAAAAGTAGGACTTAGTTTAAACGCCCTGGCATCCAGGGGAGGACAGCTTCTGAGCTTTTGCCTTCCCAGTTTGCTATAAAATTGGCATTAGTAAGTGTCTCTGCCTCTACTTTCTGGATCCAGAAATGGATCCCAACGTCCAGGGCCAGTCACATGAGACCTCTCTGTACCCCACCTAGAGCCTTTCCCTGCCCTAGAAGAGAGGTCCGTGGGGGGAAAGATGTAAGCAGTCTTACTCCACTATCTTGGTCCTGTCCACAGTCACTGCGGCCCATCATGTGTCCATGACTTTAGCTTCTCCCCTATTCTGAAACCTAAACCTCAGCCTGCACTCAAAAATACTTTGTAGAACCCCTATTATGATCCAAGCACTCTAATCTCTAGTGCAGATGAAGTTATGAAGTAGACACAGGCCCTAGTCTCAGACAGCCTGCAGCCTGAGAGATAGGACCTCAGGGAATAGGTAAAAGATGGTATTGGGATGGGGAAATGGAAGAACGTAGGAGGGTAGCTGACCCAGACTGGGGGTGGGAGGGTGGGGCAGGAAGGACTGCTAGAGGAACTGAGAGCTTTGCCCTGATGCAAAGGACAAGTAGAAATGAACTAGGCAGAGAAGAGGTCTGTGGGTATACGTGGGGTAATAATGTCAGAGGGAGGAATAGCAAGTTCAATGCATCAGGAAATAAAATAGAACAAGTTCAAGGATTTCAACATAATATGGCTGAAGCCACTGAGGATGCCTCACTTATTAGCTTTTTGAACTTAACCAAGCTGCTTGAGACACATTGGCAAGCCTCTCTGAGCCATATGCTCCCATTAGAAAAATAAAGTAATACATCACAGGCTTGTGAGAAGCAATGAAAGAACATAGTGATAGAATCTAGCTTGGTATCTAACTCATGGCAGATGCTCAATGTGGTTTTATTTTCTTACATAATGAGAAGTTAGCAGCAAACATAAACAGGTACTACAGAAAGGAACTGCTTTAAAAGATTGATATTTTCTAGGTTCAGACTTACTCCAGCTGTTATTTGCATTCTGCAGACTCAGCTGTGCTTACTTTGTTCCCCACGCTTGCAGATGTGACCTCACTTTGTTTTTCTTTGCATCAGTCATAGTTATTTCCATTAGATTGGGCTGTGGGAGGTTCATATCTCTTCTACTAATTGCTTAAGATTCTTGCCCAAAGTCCATTAACCAAAGTTGAATCCCAGAATGTTGGCTTCTTGTGGGTGGGGAGGATAATGGAGATGAAGGGCATTTAGCTGGTAGCCTGGCCTCCCTCACATCCATTGGCTGATGTTCTGCATTAACATGGCTACTGTTAGTCCTTCCCTTCACCCCCACCCCTACCTAGTCCTATATAGGTTTTCCTGAACCCAACTGGGCATTGCAGGTTCCCTTAGCAAATCCAGCAACTTGAGGGCAGAGTACATGATCATTACATAGAGCTCCTCTTGCATCAAATTATCTTTGTCAAGCACTATAAAGGATAGTTAATGTCACTGTCTTTATTAGTAATTTGGAGGTGCTACATAAATGCTAAAATGGGGGTTTTCATTTTTGTAGAATCTTGGCTATTGTAATAATATACCTGATAAGAGCAAACTATATATGGTGCAGTAACTGTGCTTACCTTCCTCTCCACCTTCTCTCCCTTTCTCCTCCTTCCCTTTCTGAACTGTGTTTTAGTTTCCCTCTCCCCACTGTGTGAATATACTTATGATAGAAATTAAATATTTGTGTAGGTTTTTCATGCCATTGGAAGGTGCCATTTTCATAGATTCTTCATGGACCTTTCATGGACCCTGACAATCTTTGATTCTGAATCTTTAAAGTGTGGCTCAGTGCTTTGAGAGCAACTTTGACACTACACAGGAGGGTGGTGGTGAGTAAAGTGGTTTATGACCAACCGTAACTAAATATCTACTCAATCTTTTTAATGATCCTGTCCTTACTTTGGAATTCTCAGGAGGAAAGATTCTGAAGGAGTTAGTAAAAAGAATCAAACTGATCAGTGAACCTAAACTTTGAACAGAGTCAACAAATCACTTATACCTTTCTAAGGCATTCTGTACCCAGTGTCCCATCTTTGCCTGCCTGTCACAAGAGCCAGGCCCTTCACTGTGAGTAAAGAAAGAAGCTATTGCTTTCAGATTCCATTCTCAGCAGGGCACTCACCTATCTCTTACATTTCTGCCTTGGTCTCTTATCACAGAGTGATCAGGCCCACAATCTCCCAAATGAATAGACAGCAAAGGCTTAAATAAAAGAGACAAATAGTATGATTTTAAGACTTCAAGAGGATCAAAGCCCTCTAGCAGAATTTGAGATACTCTGGGGGCTGAGCCAAAGAACTTCTCTAAGTGGCTTGTATTTATTTGGTTTTCAAATAAAGGAAGGGGATACTGAGGAAAGCATGGGAAACTGAGCAGGACCTTGGGAATCAGTACAAAGACTCTCCAAGTAGTCAATTATGCTAATTATCTGCAACTGACATTCACTGCAAGAGCGAGGTGTCTGCAGCTGCAGGCTTTATCAAGTTAAATGAGGTTGGCAGCTTCCTCACTTGGGGCCTTATCTTGTGCTTTGAGGTGTCTCAGCATCACAGACCACTATGGGCCTCATCCAGGACCAGTAACTCACAGAGCTTCACTTACTTTGAATCTGCTGCCCATCTCCAGGCAATGTGCCTACACCTTCTACAGACACACAAGTAAACACAGAAAGCTAAGTGATTAATTTTATATTTTGCTCAGAGCCACTTTGTAGTGGTATCCATCAGTCGCTGTTATCACACAGTATCACAAGCCTTTCACATACAGGATACCTCTAATCTAGTGCTAATCTTATCTCTCAGAGCCAATTGTACCCTGTTTTTACTTCTATGTCATTTATCCTCACAGTGTCCGGAAACCAGGAAGCTCAGGTCAGAAGTCATTTCTTTTAGTTCTCAAGACCTTTGGTCCTTTTGGATAATTGTCTCTCATATCTTTATTTTCACACATACGAGTCTAGGGGCTTATAAATTTAGGTTCATATCATTATCCACGTGTTTTTTATTGAACATTACTGTTTACATTATATTTTTTTCCATGGCCCTAAATCACAAAAGTTAACTGGATTTTTTTTCTTGTTCTCCAGAAATATAATCTATTACTATTTACCCTAGAGACCTTGGTTGCCTGCCTAAGAACTGATTGTCGCATGGCTGAATCGACTGTATTTGATGCTCTGCATCTTATTTGCCTGACTACCTAGAAAATGTCCTTCCGGTCTCACTGATGTTCATGGTGACTCTGTGAATCTTAGGATCAGTTTGAGTTTACAAACATAGTTGTGAATTAATTCTCATATCTGAAGACTAAAGGACATGTTGGTGTATGCATCTAACACTTTCCCTTGATTTAGTCTTGAAGTTTCACACTCAACTTTTACTGCATGACGACTTGCCAGCCTGATCAGCTATTCTTCTCTGATCTCATCTGTCTAAAGCTGCAGTCATGATAATTAAGTCAGCTTCTCTTTTAGAATGTGAAATACAGATCCCTGCACTGTGATATAGTGACAGCATCAATGATCCTACTGGCACTTGAGTGTCTGAAGACAGTGTCCCTTAAGTCAGGCATTTCTTTAATTCACAGTCTCCAAGACACAGTTCTTGAGAGAAGACTAGGACATTGATTCAGAAAGACTTAGCATGCCAGGTCCATGAAGTAGAAACTTCTTGTTTTTATTCATTGCTGTTTCCAGTATCTAGCCCAGGTCTCAGAACCTAACACTGTTAGATTATAACAGAATAAATAAGAACTATATCTGAAAGGGTTACAAGTTTGAGAAAATGCAATAAATACAATAAAAAGGGCTTGAACTCCTTGATTTAAAGAAAAATCCATTTCAAGAGAATTTAATTTTTTTTTTTATCAGTACTGGGAATTGAACTCATGACAGCCTGCTTGCAAGGCAGGTGCTTATGCCGCTCAGCTAAATCCCCAGCCCCAAGAATTTAAAATTTTCATTTAAAAAAGCTGAAGGTCTTCATTAGGGATAGAATATATACGGCAGTATTAGATAGTGTCAATAGTTCAGGATTTAATTCAGGCTGCCAGGGTTTGAATCCTAGTTTTAAAGTATGAGACAATATATGTAAGGGGCACAACAATTTGGATACAGAGTTAGGCTCCATCGTTATTAGCTCTTGCCAGTAACAGTTTTATTTTCTTGGTAGTAGCTTTATCTCATCCCTGCAGCAGTAACTTGGTAATAGTTTACTAGAGGTTTACGTGGAAATGTGTCCACTGAACATCTAGCCTTGAAAGGCTAGATGTCTTCCTTGGACAAGAGTATAAATTTCTTGAAAGTAGGAACTCTGATTATTCATCTTTGCCACTAGTAAGTATTTGAGACTGCCAATACACTTTTGTCCAAGTGTTTATTCTTTGCATTGGATGACTAATGGTTTTACTCTGCTTGCAATTCTACATGATGAATGGTCACAAGGACAGTAAATATTGAAACAACTCTAGTCTCAGTCAGGTGGTGGTGGTATGTTAATGACACACAGGCACCAACAAAAATGTTCCACATTCCATTCAGTTGCATATATTCCAAGAGGATTAACACTAAAGCAGTATTTTCCCACATAGTACGACGTGCAGACACTGCTGATTTATGTCTCCCACTTCAGAAGTCTTTTTTCTCCATCCCATTTTAGTTATATAAAAGTGTTTTGAGAGTATTGCAGTCTTGCAGCAACAATCTGGCAATGACTCATGTATATTTCAAAATTAAATACTGTAAAGAGCATTACCCACAAGCTTGCCAAAGAATTCCTCCGCTATCTTGTCTATGACCTGTAGAAATAGCAATGCCATGGAAGAATCGAAGAGCAGTTCAATTTTTTAAAAAAATTATTCAGAACCAAAATAATAAAGCAGAACTGAATTACCTGCTTTTTATATCTAAATATAAGTCCCAGATTACTCCAAACCATGCAAGTAGATTCCTGACTTATTACTAACTTCATAAACAAAAAAGTACTTCTGATAAGCAATCCTAGAAAAGGCAGAAAGTAGTTTTAGAAATGAATATTCTAAGCAGAGAACAGATTAAGTCAGGGTAACACTGTGGCTCTGAATTTAAGTGAGAATTGTTTCTCCTCTTTTTCAGAAAAGAATCAGAACCCAGAAGCCCAGGATACCCTGATAAAACTTCAGCAGGTTCAGCTGGTGACTTCTTCCAAATGAAGAAAGGAAAATACATCTGTGGACTTCATACTGGACGTGCTGTGGCTGCTGGGTAGGACAGGAATAGGAAGCAGAGACACATTTGCTGCAACAGTTTTAGCTGATGAAATCCAAAGGGATATGAGAAGTATGGAATGCATATCCAGGGGGAAAGTCGGCAGCTCTATATAAAGCAACTATTTTTACAGAGTATCACCTTCTTGGTGGTGATGAATTGGGAAGAGAATATATATAGTACTCAGAAGATTAAAATTTCAAATTAGAAGAATGATGTGGTTAAACATAAAATGAGTATGAAACCAGTGATTGGAAAGTTTTCAGTTATATTTCTATTTCATACCAGCATATCTATTTTTAAAACTTTAATTCAGAAATATTTTATAAAAGATCCTACTGATGGAAATTGATCAAACTTCAAAATGGCTAGTATTAGCAGAAAATCCTGAATGATGTAGCTGTTTAATGTGCTGTCTTTGATAATCTATAACAAAATAAAATACATAAAATCTGGCTTCAAAGAACAGAATTGTTACTCTTTGAAAGAACTTTGAACTGAAAAAACCCTCTCATAATTGACCTAAACACAGGGACAGTGGGGAGGTCCCTAACTTGAAGGTGCAGCCTGACTTTTTTCTGAAACAAATAGAACCACACAGGTAAAAATCATCTGAGACTTCACTGAACTGCATGTATAAAATTGAAAACCCCTCACTTTTTCAGGGGACCCAGTCCCCTTCACTTTATTTTGCTTTATGCATAGCACTTATCTAGTACCAACAGACTACAACTCCTTTTTACTGACCTACATCCTTGCCAAATGTTATAACAGTTAATGTTATATGTTTACTGGTGTATCTCAATTATATGGGAGATTGCCTACTACATAGTAGGTTGAATTAAAGGGAAGTCAAACAGCCATGTTTGAAAAATATAATGAATTTTTCTGGTAAATGAAGACACAAATAATCAAAACAGTCCTTTCCTCTTCCTCCTGTCTCAAACATGGTGATAAATGCTGGTGTTCCCCTGGTCATCCCCTGAGGCAAAGGCCAAAGAATCCCAACTTTCTCTGTCTTGACCTCATATATTACTACAATCTGGATCTTGAAAATCCCCTCAATGCCCATGTTGAAGCCTTGGTTTTACTGGAAAAAAGTGGCTGCTGGATCTTTAGAAAATGGAGCCTACTAGATGAAGTTAGGAATGTAGGTCTATGGGAATATGTCTATAAAGGGAGCTATAGCTTATCAATTTCTTCCCCTCTCACTTTCCAATTCCCGGCCATGAGATGAGCAGCTTCCATGATAAAATAAGATGTTTTTATCATAGCATACATAATTGCCTCACCAAAGGCTTAACAGCAGTGAACCAACCAACCATGGACTGAACCCTTTAAGCCTATGAACCATAATAAATCTTTACTCTTTATATGTTGATTATCTCAGGTATTTTATCATAGTAACAGAAGTCTGACTAACATAGACAACAACACTATCAAGTGTCTACCTCTGGATCTCTTATTGAGATAAATAAATGCTTTTTATTTAATCCATTGTAAGAGTAATTCATCTATGTGTTTCCAGATTCATGTAACATTCTTTATATTCCAAATGATATATGATAATGCTGCAGCAGTGCTAGTGGGAAATTGGAGCAGGTAAAGAAAGGAGAATCCCAGAAATTTCTTCCCTCTTTCCTCTAGCTCAGGCAGTGTTTCCAGTGTTAGGTTTGCATCTTCCATGCTCCCAGTTCCCACCAGCCAGCCATCTTACATACCTTATCACTCAGGTGGCTCTTTCCACTGAACTCTGATAAGCATCATCTCCTTCCGTTGTCTTTTCAGCATTGTGGATGGTAATGGCTTCCTGCTGATACTAATCTCCAAACTGCTAATCTTTAAGAAGGCCTATATGCCTTCTCAGCTCTTCTAGCCCCTTAGCAGCTAATTATTTCCTTTAGAAAAACTGGCATGGACTACATTGTTCCAACACTTGCACAAATCACCTTCTAAGTTCAAACTTTAACAGGAATTAAAACTTCTTTACCTTGTGGGCTGGAAGTTTTCCACCTTTAAAAAAACATATAATATAAAGCCTCACAGTTTGGAGTCAAAACTATATAGGACTAAACATAACAAAATCTGTTAATCTTTCTTGGGTATTGAATCAGGCTGAATTCAAAGATATAGACAAATTATGAGAGTTCATCTGTAGATGTATAATTTGCTTGTGGTTTTGAATTTTAATCCATAATCTTGGCTGACATAGAAGAGTTGATTATTCCTCCTTTATCATTGTGCCAACAACATGAATCTCATGCTTAGAGGAGTAAAACAAACATTATATATTTCTCAGAGCGTGTCTTATCAGTCACTGCAATAAGGCAACTAACAAAGGGCCTAACATCACTTCCTCTAGTTCCCCAGTGAATATGTCTATAATAAAATTATCATCCATGCTATGTGAATAACCTTTTATCCAGGGTTTCCAGTCTAATAATCATGGTTAAGCAAAAAAATAAAATAAAAAATAACCTGATTACAGCCTTGTCAGAAGTTTGTTTTGCAAGACTGCCACATAACTCTGCCAGATATGGTATCCTGTTTATATTTTCTTCAGCCCAAAGATCCCATTAAATAAAGGTGAAATCCTCAATTATGTAAAAATTCTTGTAATCCACAAAGGAGCCCCCAAACTCAAGTTTAAAAAATGAGGCAAAAACATATTTTAAAAAGCAGCACTGATTTATTTTACCCTGGGCCCACAGTGTAGTTGGAGATTGCAAAAGCTGTGTGCCACCTTTAAGTACATATCACAATTTACAAAGTAAGGGGTCATGGGTGTGGATTGGGAAAACTGTTAATGAGGAAGGCCTTTGTTTTTCTTAGGAGAGGACAGAGCAATCTAACAGTAGTTAACAACCCCTGTTAGCTTATTTTAGCACCACATCTGTTATTTGTAGAGGGCAACAATGGTTAACATATCAATTAGGTAAGATTCTACAATTCTTTACAGAGGAGAGCACTGATTAACATATTAACTAGGTCACCCAGAGGGGGAAAGAAAACACATACACAGAAGGCCACGTTATAGGTATTTTGGTATAATACAAATATAATGAAGCTGTTTTTTCTAGTGTACAACATTCCCCACTGATTGTAGTTAGTGAGTCAAATCATTGACTCATAGGTATCTGTTTATAACCTTGCGTGCATCTTTAAAATCATAAGCTTTTAAGATCTTTGACATAGTTTATCAACTTGTTTACAATACAAGGCCCAACAGGAGGATTAACAAAGGTCTTGTAGCTGTTCTTATTAAAGCTGTTAACCAAAAGGAGAAAGAAAACCAACATTTAAATTTACTCTGTTTTATCATATAAGTAACAATTTTTTTTTCTAAAGTCAGACAGAGGCCTCCTTGGGGTCTCTATAAGGGAGAACACAAGATTATCAGTTACATTTGGCAATCTTAAGCTTAAAAGACTCCTTGGAGGGAACAGTCTACTTATCCATAGCTTGATCGCCTTTGGAAGCTGGGATCTGCTTGAAGTGGGAATGATGAATCCAGGCAGGCTTTCTGGCTACTTTGATAGTCTATTGTGGCTCAAGAGATTTATGGTGATGCCTTTTGATAAGGACTGGTGTCCAGGCTCCACAGTGGGATGTCTGTCCTCAGGGTGGGCAGCAGCGAAATAACCAGTGGATGGAAGTCAGAACTGGCTGAAAAGTCTGGGGGGGGGGATTTAATAAGATCTTGATTAGCTAAATCAGCTAATTTTTTTTAGAAACCTTAAGGATAAGAGGAAGAGGTCTCCCATATAAAGCCTCAAAAGGGGAAATACCTGCAATATAGGGGGTACATTGCACATGCAAAAGAGCAAAAGGAAAGAGACTCGCCAGTTTTTAAGGTCATTAGTAATTATTGTCTTTAAAATCTGACGTCTCTTTTTTACTTGTCCTGAACTTTGAGGCCGGTAAGCACAATGGAGTTTCCAATTTGATCTGCAAAGCTTAGGTTAGTTTTTGAGTTATCTGGGCTATAAAAGCCAGGCCATTGTCAGACCCCACAGATAAAAAGGTCAAATCAGAGAAACTGTTATCAGGGCTGACTCAGACTTAGTAGGCAAAGTTTTTACCCATCTAGTAAAAATATCTATCATTATTAATAAGTACTTACTTTCTTGAAGTCCAGGCTTTTTTTTATTTTTGTAAAGTCTATTTCTCAATTTTTTTTTTTTTTTAGGCATAGCCCCATGTAGCGAGGGGTTTCTATTTTTTGCAGTTGTTTTGGGTTCACCAATTGGCACTGAGGGCATCTGAGGCTCATAGACTGGGCTGTCTTTGATATTAGCCCCCAGGGATCTCTCGGAAGTTGAGCTGCTAAATATGTCTTTTTAAGTGCAAATAGGCTCTAACAAAGTAGGTGGGATTGGCAGTAATGTCAAGCCTATCTCAATCCCCACTGATTTTGTGGCTGCCTTTTGGGCGGTAGTGTCTGCCAAATTATTTTTTTGTGTAACAGGGCCATCTCCTACCCAATGGGTTCTTCAGTGGATAACAGCCTTGGCATCCAGATGGCAGCCAACAAGTTTAAAATTTGGGGAGCATTTTCAATCTTTTGACCCCCAGAAGTCAATAATCCCCGTTCCTGGTAAATAGCCCCATGAATGCGGGCAGTAGAAAACTCATATCTGCTATTAGTATAGATATTTATATCTTTATAACCCTTCTGACAGCTTGAGGGCCTCAGTGAGCACAATGAGTTCAGCTCACTGGGCCGATGTCCCTGTCTCCAAGGTTTGTTTCTATAGAACCTGAGAGTCCGTGGTAACAGCAGCTCCCCTGACCTGCTTACCTTGATAGATGTAACTGCTTCCATTGGAGAAGTAGGATGGAACTCCAGATAGTGGCTTATCAGTTAGTTCAGGTCAAAGTCCTGTGAGGTGATTGATGACCTCAGTACAATTGTGTAAGGTAATGAGGGGTCATCCTCAGGCAGCAAAGTAGCAGAGTTTGAAGACGCTGTCCCCTTGAAATTGATGGTAGTCAGATCTAGAAGTAATGCTTGATAATGCATGACTTGGGAGTTAGGCAGCCATCGGTCTGGTGGATCCTTGATGAGAGTCTCCAGTGAATAGGAGGGGATAATTAAGAGTTTCTGTCCAAAAGTCAATTTTTAAGCCTCCTTTACCAGGAGGGTCACTGAGGAAATTATCGCAGACAGGGTGGCCATCTGGCTGTCACATAATCAAGTCTCTTGGAAAGATAGGCAACAGGCTTCTGCCAGGATCCCAAACTCTGGATCAGTCCTGTGGCTTCTAGAAATTTTTGCACTTGCCTTTGAGTCACAGGGACTGGAATCTGTTGGATAGCTTACATTTGCTGGGAGGAGTCTTTTTATTTTTTATGGAGAGTCCAACAACAAATGTAGTCTTTTTGCCCAGCAGAAATCTCTTAAGCCTGGTCTTTAGGGTCCTCTCAGTTGTCAAATACCTTTTAAGTAACCTCTAATAACTGACTGAAGGGCATTCCCTCAAATCTCTCAAACTTTTGCAATT